AAATCATTGTAAACGTCCCATAGTCCATCCTTGATCATTCCGTCAATGACAGATTCATGTCCTAACCTCAATCCTCTTCTGTTTTGGAAAGAAAAATGGATTCAAAATTGGTTTTCTTCAATGCAAAAACTAAAAGCCAAACCAAACGAAACCAAAAACAAAACAATAAGTCTCACTCCTAGGTAGGGTCATAGAGGGTGAGATGTGAGGCTGTGAGCAGACCTTACCTCTGCCCCTAGGAGTAGAGACGTTGTTGCTTTGAGGATACTTAAAAAATGCAATATACTGATATATGACCCATGATTTTTTTTAAAAGAAAGTATAACATTTTTGTCTGATACAGATTAAGGGCTGTAATTTAAAATAGACTCAGAGGTAGCCTTTTCATCTGGAACAAGTAAAACCCATATGAAATCATTAATCTGTAAGATTAAACTGCATTATTAGAAGAAATTGCAAGTTTGTACCAGCCTTCTTCTGAATAGAAAAAACAATCGAGTTCAAAATATGCACCGGTTGCAGGTTGTATGAATATATATTAATTGATTTACCCTATTGTGTACCCAATCGGCTCAACACAAAGTTTTATTATATTATAAGTACGAAAACAACTGTTCTTTCCATTTCCTATATTTACTCATTTCCTGCATTAGTGTTACTACAGTGCAGAGGTTTTTATGCATCTACATGTATAGAGATTAAGTAGCTAGCAGGGAATAAAATGATTGATCGGGACATAACCTGGACTGAACTAAATATTTTGGCGCATTAGACATGCTTTCCATGCCACCAGCCACCACAACATCATTGAGACCGGATGTAATACTAAGGGCAGCAATCATTATTGCTGAGATAAATAATATCATGTTAGGACAAAACAGGTACCAGAAAATAAAGACACCAATATGTTTTTGCAAAAAACAAACCCTTTAATCCTGATGAACACACTTTGTTAATGGTTGTGCAAACAGCAGAATCAGGTATCCCAGCACCTAAAGCAGCCTGCCTAGCAGGGGCTTGTCCTAAATTTGCACTGAGAACATTTCCAAAGAATACCTCTTGAACTTGTAAGGGATCAACGCTTGCCCTCTCAAGAGCACCTAGGACAATGTGGTTATTTGAACTGACATTAAAGGCTTAGAGAATGGCTATTAAAGAACAAAGAAGACTAAGCATGGATCCTACAATCTTACTCTTAATAGCTATAGAACCAAGCTTTGTCGCGGATAAAGATGAGATTGTACCAAGCAAGCCACCCATTGGTGTTCGAGCAACACCAACAATGCATACATCTGGAATTTAACAACTAGAACGTTTGAAACATTTCAGTTAAATATAAAATAGTAAATCAACATATAAAATCTTAAATTGCTCCTCCTATAGGGTTAATATTTTAAGATGGAACGATATATTTAAGAGTTTGGTTTGATGGTATTTGTTAGTTTGTTTTACACTAATTGGTTGGGGTAGCCTATTGGGGTTGGTTTGACTCAATTATTCACCTCAAGTTATCCAACCCGGGTGACCGAGGGAAGTGTTAAATATATCTAAGAACTAATAAGAAGTATTCTTTTTGGGGTAATTTGAGTTTGCAACCCATTTTATTGTCCAAATTGGAGTTTGCACCCCGTTTTTAAAAATCTATGTATTTGCAGCAATCTATGTATTTGCAGCCCCAACCCTGTATGAGAAGACAAAAATGCCCCTCGATCAGGAATATGTTGAAGGCCTACAGAATTGTTAATGGAGGGGAATTTTTGTCTTTTCATACGGGGTTGGGATTCTTAATGGAGGAACGTTTTTGTCTTTTCATACGGGGTTGGGGTGCAAATACAAAGATTTTAAAAACGGAGTGTAAAGTCCAATTTGGACCATAAAATGGAGTGCAAACTCAAATTACCCCTTTCTTTTTCCAGTGAGTGAAATGAAAAGCAAATAAACTAATGAATTACTAGTAGTAAATAAGCAAACAAAGTTAAAATACTTCAAAACAAATAAACTACTATGTGTATAGTCCATATTGGACAGGAGCTAGAAAATTAACGTGAAGTGGGCAAAAGATTCATCAAAATAAATTCAAAACCTCGGGGCTTAATTGAATTGTCTGATCTTGATGCCATGAACTGTCCTCAAGTAATCTGAAGGAAGCAACAATAAGATTAAGGTTAAAACCAAAATCAGAAGCACAAAAAAAAGGAACCGAAGGGTTAAAGGAATGAAATTTAACATTTAACAATAACCAACTAGCAACAAGTTCAAATAGTACGGTAAGAAAGATGCAAGAGATAATGAAATATGGGAACGAGGTGAAATTTAGCTGGTACAAAATAGAAACTTTAGTTGCCCAGTGCTCCAGTTGAATCAAATACTTCGATCCTGGAACCCAAATAACCAATTCAGTGGAAATTGAGTATGGACAGTTTCATTTTTGTTGGCAAAATTGTTATCTCCAAAGCTATCTTGTTTTGGTCGCCTAATCTCTCGTATTGATTTTGTTTTAATTGAAGGGGTTTTTCCTTCAATCCCTCCGTACAAAACATGCATTGGCCCACACCAAAATGTGTTTTAATTAATCATGCACAGAACTCCTTTCATGAATACATTTACTTATCAAATAAAAGAAAAATGATTAACATTTTTATATCATTTATAGATTTTGACATATTTATTTGCATATTCAATCAAAATATTAGGAAAAGTGATTTCCAAATCGTTAAATTTATTTATAAAAGAGGTTTTGTGCATGATTCATTAAAACACAAGGGAGTTTGACACATTTTTCAAATCACAAGGGATAATGCGCTGAATTTCTATATCACGAGGGGGTTTGGTGTATTAAACCCTTTTTTTAATTGAGGGGTATTTTCCTAAATATTAGGAATAAAAATCAATAAAAATATTACTTACGGAGTATTAATTATTCGTGATTACAATCTTGTTTAAAATTCTTTCTTTTTGAATCGTGTTTAAAGTTTACAAAGTAGTTACATATAATTAGTAAGATGCAAACTTTAAGACCTTTACAATACTAAGAGCATCTCCAATAGTTCCTCTTGAGGACTTGCTTGCAATTTTAAAGCTAATAGCTTACCATTGGAGCATTGCTAAACCTTTTGCTTGAGAAAGCTAATTAGCCGAAATGAACTACTAGCTTGAGCAAATAAATTATTAAATATAACATTATTAATATCAAATGAAGAGGAAGATGACATAGCTCACCATTGAAGTAAATTTTACTTTTGCTGCAAATGTTTATGTGCCTAGTCAAGCTACGAAGGTAATTGATTGACCGCTGGAGATGCTCTAATAGTAATAGCTATTAAGTAATATTTTAATTCATCATATTTTAAAGAGTTATTAATGTTTTTTTTCTTAATTGGAAAGCATATTAACCAAAGAATGTTTTCTTTTAACTTTCTTAAATAAATGATCAGGTTTTCTTTATAATAAGGAAGTATACAATTAGGAAAATTCTCGAAATATGTGTAAAAAAATCTTTGAAATTTTAAAATATAAGTACAATTTTTTTATTTTATAAATAAGAGTAATTATTATTAAATTTGAAAAAATTGATATGTTTAATTAAGAGATAGATACGAAAAAAGTACTTATGGTTGTATTAGTTTTCAGATAAGGTCATGTGTTTCAATTTTTAACAAAGTAAGTCATGTGTTTCATTTCCGTTATCAAATGAGGGGTCTGGTTTCTAACGCCGTTGGAAATCGTTGGAGGAATACGATGAACTGTAACTTCAATTTTCAAAAGTGTTTGAAAAAAAATACTATGAAGTGCACCTCATCAAAGCGACCTACATGACATCTTTTTCTTTTTTGTTTCCAATCACCTTTGTCGACAGAAAGTCCACCATAAATAAGATATTAGTGATTTTTTTTAATAATCCAAACGGATTCGAAAAATCTAGAGGAAGATGGATTGGAGGTCTCTTGACGAGACATACCTCCCAACATTTTTAAAATTGGAGTACGTTGCTATTCATCGTCTCCCTCCGATGATTTCTAACGGTGTTAGCGTCAAACCCCACTTGTGATAAGCGAAATTGAAACACATGACCTACTTTGTTAGAAATGAAATACAAGACCGTTTTGAAAATGGGTTCAACCATAAGTACCTTTTCCATTTAAGTAATATCTAGTAATTTCAAAATATGACATTAATTAGGATGTTTTTACTGGGATTGTTTTTAGTCTCAGACAAACAAATTTCAGTCCAAGTAAGAACATCCTTACTCATATCTGAAGAACAAAAATACAAGAATACAAGAATCCTATTTTAAAATTCACAAACATCTTGTCTTTTATTTGAAACGAATTCTCTATACAATTCTGTTGTATTAAACCTAACAAAGTATCTATGAGCAATAAAATATTAATGCTAATTGACAAAATAATAAATATTGCTTTACTTATTATTCTGTTTTATTATGCATTATTAATATTAAAATGAACAATAATATATTAATTCTAAGGGACATTAACTAGAGTTCTTTCATCACCATTTGGGAAATACTCTTAACTCGATCATATTTTTGTAATTAATTTTTTGTTTAGCATTATTCTAGAAAAACTCAGCTGTAGAACCTTGTTTCCTTTTATCTTTAGATTTTTTTTTTCCACTACACATACCCCGTAATCTGTATTAGGTAAAGAATTTTTTTCATTTTATCTTACTTTATTTTTAAATTTTTATTTTTATCTTTCTTCTCTTTTTGGCTCCGATATCATGAATCGATTCATATTAGTTGATCCCAAAATATTTTGAAAATTAAGGCTTAGATATTATTGTACACATGGGCTATATAAAAAAAGAAGATTATATTTTAATTAGTATTAAATTAGGGGAAAACAAGTGACATATTATCTCTTATAACCTAAAAATCACAATAATACACTCTGTTCACTTTTGCTTAGGATGTTTTTAATTGAACTGATTTTAGTCTTAAATCAAACCATTGAAACCAGACATGAATAGATCAGATTAGACCAGACTTGAACAAATGTAAAATACAATAGAATTAACATCTACCAAGCTTGTTCAAATTAAACTTGAACAAATCAGACCAGAATAGAAAATTATACAGAAATTGCCCTAAATAGGAGTAAAAATGTTTTGAAATTCAAAAATAGGAGTATCATACTTTTTATTTCCTGAATAAGAGTAATCTGCCAAGTTTGGGGAAAATGCCATGTTTAAAGCCTTGTAATGCCAAACTTGGCAGAAATTTACTCCCATTTAGGGAATAAAAAACATGATACTCTTATTTTGGAATTTCAAAAAGTTTTAACTCCTATTTAGGGAATTCCCTCAAAATTATAATCCAATTAAAACATCTTTATTCCAAAACAAGTGCTCTCTCTTATAACTAAACATCATAATTTATCTGGTGATTGCAGACTTGGCAAATATAGAACCAGAAATATATGAAAACAACTCCATGATAAATTTGACTTCATCATAGTTATTGATAGATTTTCTTAACCGGGACCTGGTCCACCATTTTGCTCAGTCCGGTTCGAGCCTGAGTATGTGAAGGGTATTTGTAGTCCTAAGTTTGGATCTTGTCACTATACATGTCCAGGACACACTTTGGCGCCTGATCTCTCTACCATGGGAGCAAACAGGTGGGTCAGAAAATTGAACTGAGGCCGGCTGAACATGATTTCAAGCCAATAGCCATATTACATTGCGCGGTTGTGGTGGTTTGCCCCATCAATTAGCATGCCACAAGCACCTCACAATCAAATTACATCTATTTCTGTCCTACTGCTGATAGAAATAGATGAATAAGAGGGCTCCACAAGACCACAAACATGAAGTTTTTCTGAGATATCCTGATAAACACAAACTACAAAGTATACAAGTGCATTCCATTAGCTATCTATTCCCATGCTACATGAATGCAAGTTTTTGAAATGCTGCCATTGCCAATTTGTCGATCCTGTCCTGCCAGCGCATATGTAGAATTTAGGCACATTCTATTATACTTAGTATAAATTCAAATGCTAAAGAAAGTGGAGAATATAGAATCAACAGTTTCCCTAATTCTTTCCCGACTCAGACTGTTAAGGACGGACTCACATGCTTACTTCCCTATATGAAGTAGTACTCCATCTCGACGTTCAAATCAAGGTTCTCATTCCATTTTAAATACTCCCTCCGTCCCGAAAAGGTTTGCCAAATTTCCTTTTTTGGATGTCCCAAAAAGATTTGTCATTTCCATTTAAAGTAAGGAATATGTAGCTAAAGTTAATTCTCTCTCCTCTACACAAATTTCAACCAAACGTTTTTTACTTTATTAATTCACGTGAAAGTCAAAGTTGGCGAACCTTTTCGGGACGGAGGGAGTACAATTCTATCATCACATATCAAAATTAATACACCCATAACAACACTATTATCATCTGTTCATAACCATTGCCTCATAAAATTGTACCATTTTGGAATGGGAACCTTCAAATGGGACGGGTGGAGTATCACTTTAAAGATAGATTTAGAACTGCCATAAGTTTACTCTGAGACCAAAGAAAAAAAATTAGCTAACAGTTGGATAGAAAGAAAGTAATGACTGTTCACACATGACTTAAGAATCATAAAATAAAATAATATAAAATAAAATAAATTTAAATAAAATAAAAGCATATACCTAATATTATGCTGGATCAATAACTAAATTTGGAAAAGCGATATCTTTCTCAGGCTCTCTAGATTCCAACCACAATGTAGCTGCGACTTTTGTCGTAGAAAACCAGCCAAGCTGTTGAGGATCTCTGTGAAATGGAGCATTTAGTCCCTGTAAATGAGACTCAAGTACATCTGCCAAAGCATTGTTAGAGTACTTGTGTTTTCCATGCCCCGTATTGATCCCAAGCAATGATGGAAGTTCTACACCATTTCTAATGTCTCTGTTCATGTCCTTCATCCAGACATGCAGAGCAGTTAGTGCTGCCCCACATGACAGACTCTTGAGATTTAAATACCAGCAAGTAGATTCTTTAGATTGTATGTCGTTGTAGACTCCAAATTTTATTCCCAGGTCTAACAACTCACAGGCTTTTTCAAGTTGATTAAGGCTCACACAAATATCAATTAAGGAGTTGCAGAAAGCCTTTCTCACACCAGTGCTAATGTAATGAAAGAGTTCATTGGCTTCCTTCTTAAAAATAGTGCCATTGGCATTCTTTCCATCTAGTAGGAGTTTCACAATGTAACCAAGCTTAGGCATGGCCTTCTCAAGGCATGCAGTCAATTTATGCATTTTCCTCCTAGGTGTCTGTTTCAAGACATTGAGAAGACAACCACAAAACCGTTCATCTGGTGTTAAACCTAAATCTAAAAGATGATTAAAAGTCCTTACAACATCATCAAAACGATCAGCGTTTCCATAACATCGAACTAGTGATGTTAGGACAAAAATATCTGGCTCCAATCCTTCTTTTGTCATTTCATCCATAACCGCCTCTGCTTCTAAGAAGTTCCCACTGCAAGAATATACTGTGACCAGAGATGAAAATGTCCAACGGTCTGGCTTGGATGTTTTACAACCCTTCATGTCATTATAAATTTCAAGTGCTTCATCTATTAATCCCAAATCGGCACACATTGCAAGCAGTGTGTTATATAGAACAGTATTCAATGCCATACCTTTTTCCTTCATTTCCATATACACATTAAGAGAATCCTCGCCATAACGAGCCCTACAATATGCTTGAATCAGTGCCGCATATGTGGCCCAGTTTGGCTGAAATCTATTTTGTATCATATCAATGTAGATATCTTTGGCCTTCCATGGCCTCTTAGCTCTTCCCATGGCATGCAACAAGTGGTTATACACAGCCATGTCAGGCTTAATGCCAAGTCCCTTCATTTCTTCATACACATTCAAGCACCCATCGTAGTTCCCAGAAGCAATATAAACCCTGATCAATGAGCAGAATGTCTTGGCATCAAAATGCATTTTCTTTTCTCTTGCACAGTCATACAAGTTCAATGCCTTATCCAGATTCCCAGACCTTCCATAAGAATCAATCATAGTTGCGTAAGTTATATCATCTGGTTGACACCCAAAAGCTGGCATCTTTTCAAACCACTCCACAGCCTTTTCCGGCAAGGAGCAGAACCTAGCGCAGCTAATAATAGTGGAGAATGTAACATTATCTGGCTTAACTCCTCTCTCAAGCATTTCATCGAACAGTTTCTCCGCTTCACTCAAATATTTGTTTTTCCTTAGCACCTTCAGAGTTACATTATACAAAATAACCTGATTAGTCAATTTAAACCTTCTCCGGAAGTAATTCAATGCCAGAAGCGCAGTGTCAGGGTTTGACATATTGTTAAGAATATATACAGCGTGATGTTGTTGTACTGCTTTGTCACTCAAGGCAGCAAGTATAGCCATCACATCTTCTTCGACGGCGTTGCAGGAATCCAAGGAGTTCGAAATGCTCATCAGTGACGAGAGCTTGAAATCATAAGAATCCTCTTTTAGCTTAGAAGCCCTGGGACTATCTGGATTGATCCAAACGTGGCTTTTCGAGGGACCCCTCAATGCCTGGGCATCGTTTTGAATGGAGACTTGAGAAATCTGGAAGGGCGTGGTTCTGCGGATCCTGAGGGATAGAGGTGAGGGCTTCTGTTGGACAGGGAGTTGCAGAAAGTGGCTACAATGGAGAGAGTTGCAGAATTGCTGGAATTCTGGATAGAAAAAAGCTGGTGCAGTGCAAAGGTAGTATGCCATTTCTCTCTTTCTCGGAATCTTTGATTATCATACAAGCCAGAGCTATAGAGACTGCCTTCATCAAGTTCAGAGCATGGTTGGTTTATGATTAGGACTCCAACTTTTTGAGGCCGAAAATACTCCGGTGGATTAGAGTACTGTTTGGATGAAGTGTACAGACTTTTTGGAGCATGGATGAAGTCATTGAAGTGTACAGACTTGAGGATAAATATGTAAATATCCATATTTGGGCTGGATATTTAGCTTAGTCTTGGACCAGCAAAGGTGGGCTAGATTATTTCATATTGGGCTAGAACTGTATTACTGATTCAATTGAGGTGATTCTAAATGGAGCCTGTTTTTTAGTGGAAATATCCCGTTCAAGCCACTTTTCGTTAACACATTTCATTTATGTCACCACGTTATTTTCTTATCATCTTTAAACTTTTCACTTTTCACTTTTAAACTTTTTATTTCAAAAATAACCTATCCATTAAATCTAAACCCAAATCCCTACGTTCCCACAAAATGAAAAGTTGGGTTCGTTGATTTTACGATGGAGATGAGATGGAGGAGGGATTGTGATATTATGGATCTCTCCATCCTCTATCTCGCTCTCGGCGGTGCTGCACTGGAACTCGTCTGATTTTCTTCCTCTAGTCATCGATGAGATTAGCTTCGCCGATGAAATCTCTTCTATTATCCTGAAAAGTCATCGCAAAATATCGACCGATCATTGTCCGTATATCAATCGATTACACATGACATATGGATGCATTGGAATGAGACCGATTTTAGTTTGGGGAGATTCAAGGATCAAAACCCTAGGTAACAGGATTCTCATCTCGATTTTAATTTAAGAAGTTCATTAGCTATCTAGATGTTTTGAATTTGCTCTCTTATAGAAATTATCTCAAAGCTGGCACTCATTAAAATTTCTTTGAATTAGTTTGGATTCTAAGAAAACTTTACAGTTAAACTCCTTAATTTTTTACCACGTACTTGTTTTGATAAAATATGGTGTACTGAAGATTGTGCTTACAGTATTAGTAAGTTTTAAAATCAATTTACATACCAGTTCATCAATATCCTTTAGTGTACGGATATTAACACGCAGCCTCAAGATTATTTAAGATCAAATTGCACAAGCATTTAAGCTAGTAGTAGAGCAATCCACCAGAACACTTTTCCACTTATCTATGAAATTCTCTTCCTGCGATGATATCATGTTACTTATCACACTTACATGATCTCTTCTTAGAAAAATCCTTGCTAGTTGAGCGATCCTGGAATGTTTTGTTGCTTCTAATATTCAAAGAGGGCTGATCGTATCTGCTCTTCATCATAAGCTATTGACTAAACTTGTATGTCCCCTGAGTCTTACAATTTTGATTGTTCCTACATATTGTTTACTCCAGTCGGTGAAAATTTATAAGTACATGAAACTAACATTGTTCCTAGCTTAATTGTTTTAAGGTTTTGAGTTTGTGGTTCTAAAAGAAAACTTCCTAGCTTACCATGCTTAGTAACGTGTTCAAGTGGATCAGTTAGTACCTCTGAAGATGGAAGGCACAAACAGATCATAGATAGTGTGTGATGTTTAAATGGAATGGCCAAATGATTTTAGGGTTGTTATTTGCTTTACTATATAACATCTATAATAGGAAATGATGAATATTTAAGCTCTAATTCTTAATGTGTTGCTACATAATAGTAATATTTGTTTTTGTTGCTTATTGTTTCTTTATGTTTCTATATTTATGTTTCTTTTTGTTTCTTTTTGTTGTATGATGTTGCTAAGCATGCTTAACTTCCTAGCTTACCATGCTTAGTAATGTCTTCAAGTGGATCAGATAGTACCTCTGAAGATGGAAGGCACAAACAGATCATGGATAGAGTTTGATGTTTAACTAGAATAGCCAAATGATTTTAAGGGTTGTTATAGACCTTAGTATATAACATCTATAATTCCCCACTGAAGCTTGGACTAATAGGAATAGTAGGGGATGCTTCTAATTTTGATTATGATGATAGCCAGATGCATTCAGCCGGCCACTTCTTACCCCTTCACAAATATGATGCCCAACTTTTTGGCTATGCTTTATATTTAGAACATATGACTAAAAAACTAAAAAACATAAAACAAATATTATTCTTACTTTACACTCTTGTTAAGCATATCAATTGTTGCACACTTTAATCCCGCCACTTTAGTTCAGTCATACATTTTGGATGTTTTTATGCTCGTTTTATATATAATGTTCATATGAGTGTGCCTCTTACTATTGTAGTACAATTTTTTTCCTATTGACATGTAGTGCATTGGGGAAGATATAGAAGATCCTAAATGTTCTTCAAAATCAGAATGCGGAAAGTGCTTCATAGTTACAAATGTGAAAGATGAGGTAAAATGAGTTTTTGGTTTGACATGAGTATGGATAATTAAGACAAACTATGTTATAAGCAACATAAATGTGATAATGCTGCAAAATGAACGAGTTTCTTAGAACTTGATTCAGCCAAATAAGAGTTCATTTTGCTGGCATGAAAGATATACTTTGTTCAAGGTTCAAGAGGATGAAATGTACAAGAATTGTGTTGTATATTTGTTTAGTCAAAGGCAGTCAAAGGCACTTACAAGTCAATGAGCTTATCATGTATTCTAGAATTCGTTGGCAAGATAAATAGTAAATGACAAATAGTTAAGCTCTAATTCTTAATGTGTTGTTGCATATCAGTAGTATCTATTTTTGTTGCTTATTGTTTCTTTATGTTTCTATATTTATCTTTCTTTTTGTTGTTGTATGATGTTGTTTTGTGTTGTATAGTGTTGCTATTTGTCGATCATTTTTATTTCTTGGTTTTGTTGTTATTGTTTATTTGTCCTTCTTCAAAACGGAAAACAGTATGTGTGAGTGCGTGTGTATTTCTATATACGCGTATATGCTACATTTGCAATTATTAAATCAATAACGAGAAACACATTTAATCAACAAAAGAACAAAATTTTTGAATTTGTCAACAAAAATAAACATAATAAAACAACTGGCAACAACAAAATATGCCCTTGTGATAATAATTAATTTTGTGAAAAAATACTTCGTATTACCGATTCACAAAATCCATATTTTTTTACTTTTTAAATTTTAAAAATTTATTTATATTTTATTTATTTTTAATTTTTGACATTTTAATTTTCAATAAAATATTTTATATTTTCCTAAACAAGTTTACAATGTTGAAAGCTGTAGTTATTTTTAAAATTTTACATTCTAGAATTTTACTAATTTATTGATTATTAAAAAGTTGTTATTTTTTTTATTTTTCAATAATTCCAAAAAATAGATTATATACATTTTTATAATAATTTTCAAAGATTTTATATTAAAAATAATAATTTACACCGTTTTCTAATTTTTGAGAATTTTTTGTACATTTTTATTTAAATACTACGTGTTTTCCATTTTTTATTAATTTTACAAGAAAATTATTTTGGAAGTATTAAAACTTTTTAATTCTCCGACTATTTTAAAACTTTTTTGAATTTTTTCAAATTATTTTATTTATAAAAATGTTGATACATTTACTTTTACACTTTTCTAATTTTTTTAATCTAAATTTTTAAATTTTAATTTAGAAGTTTTCAATCTTACACTTTTTATTGTGCACTTTAATTTTTTTCTTGTGTTTTTAGATTTAATTTTAGTTGCTAGACTTTTCTTGTGTGCTTAATAATAATAATAATAATAATAATAATTATCTTTTCATTTTTCATGAACTACACAATTTTGTTTAAAAACCCATTTCATTCAATTTTTTTTACTTTATCAATAAGTGAGTAGATCTTTACATTGTTAGTTATTTATGTAGTTAGTTACCGTACGAATAGTAGAGCCGTAGAGCTTCCAATAGGCCGTTAGAGGGTTTGGTCTAATTTTGAAAGAAAATATTAAGCTAGTCTATTTTTGAAAAAAAAAAAAATTGTAAGGTGACAAAAGTGATATTATTTTCACTTTTTAGTCTATTTGTGATAAATTCTCTTTTTTTACTAAAGACAACCACATATTTAAACGGGAAAGGGGTCAAATAGGCCCTCGAACTTACATAAAAAGGTCAAATAATCTATGTTCGATTCGTGATTCGAATTTGTATAAGATGATTCGGATTCGAAAAATTCAAATACAAATACAAATGAGAATACTTAATTTGATTCGAAATGTTATCAGAGTAATCTTCCGGTCAGGTATACCTGACCGGAGCCGCCGTCCGGCCTCCTCCTTCTGGGGGCCTTCCCGGTGGTATTTTTTGCTCAAATTTTTTTGTGTATGTTCCTCATCAAGTCTAGTTCATCCATACCAAATTTCAGCAACAAATTCATTCGGGAATATGTGTATTCCGGACCAGTTAACTTGCAAAAATCATTTGACGACCTTCCCGATTGAATTTGTTGCTGAAATTTGGTATGGATGAACTAGACTTGATGAGGAACATACACAAAAAATTTGAGCAAAAAATACCACCGGGAAGGCCCCCAAAAGGAGGAGGCCGGACGGCGGTGTAGGATTGCTGCAGCTCCCATACACACACCCACTCCATGGCATGAAGCTCCATCCTCCATCAATTAAAAGGTATGGGAAGGCATGGGAAGGCATGGGATGCTATATGGGCTGCATGCAATTGTCTCCCAGCATTTCCCTATAAATAGGGTGGTTCTAGCTTGATCAAATGTATCAAAATTCGGAGTGAAAGAGTGAGAGCAATATACATAGAGTGTGAGTGTATAAGAGGGTTGATTTTTTGTAATAGTTGAGTGAGAGAGTTGCTCCTCCTATTGTAATTCTGTTCTGGTTATGAATAGAAGAATTTTCCAATCCTAACAAGTGGTATCAGAGCCAGTTTAATCCAGAAACCCAGATTTCTTCATTCTGCCCGAATTTTTGGTCAAAATTTTTTTGTTCCAGAATCTTGTTTTGAGGCCACCATTAGAAAGCTCTCGTTCTGAGGATTCCAAAAATATATTTTTCGGAATTTTTTGACCACCGGAAGGCCTCCAAACGTCCGGTCAAAGTTTCTCTCTCCTGCCAGTCATAGCCGCTGCAGTACTCCAGTCCGGCAGCAACCTCGCCGGAGAAGAAGACCAGCCAGCACGCCACGTCATCGCCACGTCATCGCCACGTCATCGCCCAG